TATAAATATATATATATATAAATAATATATATATACACACACTATATATATATATATATAAACATACAAACCCACACTCACCCATTACACGAACGCATAGCCACGGTATTAGCCACATGGGATGTGGTAGCCATCAACAGCAGCTGCAACACCGCCGTCTGCACACACTTCCTTCTGACAAGTGTATCATTAACATGCACGTGCGTGTGCTCAGGTAACATCCCCAGCGAAATTGCGGACGCCTCAAGCATGGCTTTGAGGGTTAATTTCTCATGATATGATTGGCAGTTGGTTAAGTCCGGGCCATTTGATTGGTCGTAGTTGAAAGCAGATTCCGCGGCATCTGATTGGCTGTTGCCGTACGAAGGGCTCTTTCTGAAATTCGAGCCAGTTGATTGGCTGTCGGTTAAACTTCGGAGCGGTCCGGTCATGCGAATGAGATGGAACAATAGCACCTCTACGCCTCCGATGGCCTGCAGACTGTCGCGCGGGTTGTGTCTGTGTATGATTAAATACAATTAATTGTAAGTGTTTTTGCCTACTTTAATGGGTTTTGTAGTTGTGTGTGAGTGGAATGAATAACCGAGAACAGATATTTCTTGTGTATATAGTATCTGTTGTAGACAAAATTTTAATCGTGCGCATGACTCAAAGATGTGTATATGCGTGTGGTTGAGAATTAATAACCATACACATGCATAATTAGAACGGGTGTTGTCATTGTGGGCGTGTGTGAAGAACAAAGTACTGACACAAGCACAAATCAAGTATCTGTTTTACATTGTGGCTGTATCTCAATTAGGACAAACGATTGAACATGTCTATCGAGAGTTTGAGTTGTGTCGCTGTGTGAGGAAGACATATAATTGTACTAGCATGTATGTAACTACCAGCTGGCCAATATCTATGTCCAGTATAAACTGCCTATAGGTGCATGTCAAGATGTGTCTAGCGATTTGCGTTTGTACCACAAAAGACTGTATACAAATATTGACAGTATATTAAAGGCATTGAATATATTCCCGCTTCGAGAAGCATGTACTGTGTACATAATGAGAGTGTGCCATAAAGCCTGTTTTAGTGTGATACACGTGGACAGGTACAACATTTACAGATATATGCCTAACTATAGACACGTAAACTACACGCATGATACAGAATATGTCACTTATAATATCTATAATGCACATAGCCAGGAACTAAAGTCCTAGGCGTAGAACTTAAACCTTACACTCACAAAGATGGAACATACAATAGCATGTACAACATGAAACATGCGATAGAATATACAACATACCTATGGTGTGCATAGACAGGGCCAATAATCACGGGTGTAGAATAGATCCCACACAGTCACAGAGTACACAATGTTCGAAAGTACACAGCACAACCATGGCCTGTACATGTGATGCACATAGACGCAGCTTATATGTACCGCACAAGCACACGCATGTTACAGTATATGACACTTACCCATGGTGTAGCCAAACAGAGTCTATATTTACAGGCCCGGAACTAATCGTACTTAACCACAGACCAAGCACATGTTATAGGATGCAGTGCATACCTGGTGATGCACCTAGACGGGGCCTATATTTTCTGGCGCAGAACTGACCACACACCCACAAATCAAACAACTGATGTAGAATCAAATCAAACACATGTAATAGAATATAGTGCTTACCTGTGGTGCACATAGACGGGGCCTATATTCTCGGGCTCAGAGGTGATCACACACAGTGCAGGCAGTGGCATGGTTTCATTGACAAACGGTGTGCGCTCGGCAGCATTGCTGTAGGCGTCTGCGCCAGAATTGTCGGTACGCACATGATGTCTTTCTATGCCCGTGCCAATGATAGTTCGCTGGGGTAGATATTTGGGTAAGTTATGAGAAAATGTACGCGTGTACAATTTGTGTTATGAGCGTGTTGTGTGAAAGGCGCGTACACGTGTGTCTATGTACGACTACTGAGCAAAGGGTAAGTGCACACATAGTATTGCTCTATGTCGGTGCGCTAGAGAAAGCAAAATTCAAGTCAATGAGCAAGTGTATGTGTGTACAATTCTTGTATATGTATGTGTCTTATCCAGAGTACGCAGCACATACCGGATGCTTGGTATCGGCCTGTATAGATTGAATGGTCAGCTCGTTGATTGCAACGCCCTGGGTGAACTCGGGAGGTTCATTTATCACCATTTTATTTTTAGAATCGAAGCGTGCGTGCTGCAGCACGCGGTTCTGTCGCGGCGAGTATTGGCACAACAGATTCTCGCCCAGATTCTGGAGCAGTGACCATCTAGTGCAAACGGGCATGGGTATAGGGTGAGGTAATGAAGGTAGTCCGAGGGTAGGTAGAATATGAGTGGATATATTTTGGTAGAGTGATATATTCCTTATGAGGAGTCCACGGTATATGGGAATCAAGAAGGACCGAAGGTTAGGTTGTGTATCGCGTGCCTTTGAGTTGATTGAAAGTTCTGCGTACTATGCGGTTGTGCGAATAAAAACATAGGCAGGCAGAGGTACTACAACGGACATGGCCCCAAGGGCAGGTAACACTCCAGTGGAATGTCTGTGGTTGATGCTATTGTAGGATACGCTGAAAGAGACTATAAGTATAATATCATAGTAGACGAGTCTGAGAGGAACATGTACGGGAACGTGTGGCCAGTATTAGCGAGCTCATTGGGTGTGGTTTGTGATTTGAGAGCACCTTCTGTTTTTCAAAACTTGGTTTGTATTAATCCACGTTTGAATGAAGCAAGCTACTGATAGACGACATTCAATCAGCCATTCTAGATGTATCCATCACGTACATATGGTACAAAAACATAAACCAATACTACACGGGTATGCCTCGTATTCTACCGTTTGTATCCTGACCAGGCCAAAGTGACAGCGCGCATCGAACATGGCATTGATAGACTAGATCTGATTGGTGCAATTACATGCATTCAAAGATAAAACAACACTTAAACAAACACCATTACAACAGTGCGTACGCGACACGCCTCCTATCATGTACCGGCTGAAACCCCCAATAGTGATACAGCAAAGATGTAAACTTTCGCACACGCTTTCTCAAGTAGGCATACTATCAACGACTACTTCTTACAAGATATTTAACCAACGAATTCTCACCGTTTATCTCCAGACCATTCCAAGAGAATAGGGGCAATATCGTCGATATCCGCTCGCGCATTGAGCACACTCTTTATAGACGCCATCTGATTGGGCCAGCGAGATGTAGAGTTGCGTGGAATGCGACCGTCCCAGTCACATCCAAGAGCAAACAGCAGCAGCGGTTGTACAGGGTTGGTCATAGGTTTTGTGAGGAGATTCACAGTACCTACACACCACGAAACCTGTGGGGTATTGTGGCGTGTAGAGTGAGTAGTTGTATGCATGCTTTTGACCCGCCATACACGATGCGAAATACAGTGTGCGCGTCATGTGCGTAAAATTTACATAGATAGTTCGATCGTAAACACAAACGAATACACAAGTATTATGTATGATTATATATACATATATATATATGTATATGAATA